ATGGTCGGGCGGTTTAACACACCGCTTTAAGAATGAGGGTCGCGTGTTCAATTCCTCGCAACGGTATAAACATTTGTATTCATGAGTATGATTGTTTGTATGAATCTGGGTGATTTTTATGTATATGTTTATATATACATATATATATTGAGTAGTAGAATAAAACGCGACTATTAAAAATTGCTTATTTTAATAAAGATTTATTTGAATAAATATTATTTATATTTCTTTAAATAGTTACATGTCTTAGCCTTCTCTACATTAACGACCTCGATGGACTGGCGATTTAGCACACTTTACTTCTAATGGTCGCGAGTTCGATTCCTCGCATGGTATAAACATTTGTATTTATGAGTATCTGATCAGTCTGGGTTTTCCCTACGTATATATATGTACATACATATATATGTTTACTGCATTCGTCCGAGCCACTTGAAGCTCACCTCAGCGGCGTCTCATTAACATATTTACATTTTGTCCAAAATAATTACCGGTTGGTTACCACTGTTAAATAAATGTCACATAATACACACAACGCACAACTCCGCCAATTTAATTATGACACGTTATTAAATATAATTATTTTCTCTTTGCATACAATTTTTATGTTTTATTATCTGTTGCAATGTACTTTGAATTAATAATAATAATATTCTCATAAAATCTGTTAAAAATCTCTAAATAAATATACAGAATAATATATGCACTTTAATTGTGTATCTATTCTCTTAAACTCTGTTAAAAATCTCCAGTTTCCAATTAAATATACAATAATAATGTGTGTATTTTAATTGATTATTTATTCTTTTAAACTCTATTAAAAATATCTAATCTCTAATTAAATATACAGAAAAATATGTACACTTTAATTTAGTATCTATTCTTTTAAATTTTGTTAAAAAATATAAATTCAGTACATATTCTCTTAAACTGTGTTAAAAATTTCTAAATCGAATATCTGTTTTGTTAAACTCGGGTAAAAATCTCTAAATTTAATATCTATTCTCATAAACTCTTTTTAAATTCTCTAAATTCAGAATTCATTCTCATAAACTCCATTAAAATCTCTAATCTCCATTTAAATCTCTAATTAAGTGTACAGAAAGAACCTCAAAACTTTGTATTTTGCCCGATGGCATCAGTGTGAATGCGTGGCACTCCGCGGCGGACGCTCGCCGGCACGTTGCTCCCGTTACGACCTGTCTATTCCTGAGATGTCTTAATAAATCTGCACCATCTTTGGATATAATGACACGATTTTTTGGACGGTGACCGTTCGTGGTGCAATCTCAATTAGTGCGATATATTTTCTCGTTAAAATCTCCCGCGCAAACGGGCCCTTTCGGCTGTACTGTTGCGCAGAAAACGGTTTGCCTATTTGTTGCCTAATTTCGGTCACTTATATTAATTTTGTTTGTAATTGGTATTTCCAATACCTACTGGAAAGTCAGCCAGAAATAAATATTAAAATAGAAAATTATTTAACTCTACCAAGAGTTTGACGACGATCTTGAACTTCATAAGTCACGATTATCTCTTTTCAGGGAACATAATTTTATTATAATTATTACAACTTTGGATTATTATTTCATTTTAACAATGCAATAAATATTTAAATCAGTATAACTATACTATAATATAATTAACATAAAATACGAGTACAATCCATGTTACTCGGTGTTAAGGTTTGAAGACTAAATGATTCTTTTACATCCAATTAAAAAAAAATGAGGTTCGATGATGAACTTATAAAATATTAAATATTTCTTCTCTATACTTTTAGTTCAGTTATATAATAATTTAAACTGTAACACTATAGTTCCTAACAGTACAACGCTCAATAATGTAAAGCTCCCATTATCAACACTAACGAGCTACATTTCTTTCTGCCGCGTAAACATCCGACTGTAGGTACGGCTGTATGTGAGAATGCCTGACACGCGGACGTACTGAAAAAGTAATGATTTGTGAGACGCACTGTGACATTATTCCAATTAAATTGGGTGACAAAAATCTTGTCAAAACGAGAACAGTGCGCGTCGATATACAAATTTCCATCTTATAACTCTCTATAGTAAGGTCGCTGTTTGATTGATATGTCGGCACTTTGATTGAATAGTGTCAGAAACGGAGCGAAAGGGATAATAATATCAATTAAATCTGTTAAGGTTTTATTGTACTGATGCCATATTTGTATAGCCGTGGTACTTTGTGATTACAATGTTTATCTCGTATAATTGTATACTTAATTTTGAATTTCGAATTCATTTACTCATCAATACAAATTTACTTTTTAAACTTCATATCATTTTAAAATTTTGTTCCAAACGACAACTTTGAAATTGTTTCAATACAAACTATTTCTATTTTGAAAAAAGAACTGGACTCCTACATTTAAATTTATGTTCCAAAGACAAATTCTGTATTGTTTTGTTTCAAAATAAGACTATATATGTTACATTTTCATTTTCGCCAAATAGTTCTTTTTTCAAAATAAATACACTTTGAAAAAAGAACTATTTGGCGAAATACATTTAAAAAATAACAAAAGCAAATGAAATTCCTGAGATTGTAAAGTCTTAATTGACTTGAATTCAGTTTCTAGTGTTATATTATAACAAACTTTTCGTAACATTTAGTATATCTTTAATTCTAATCGATTAAAACGAAAAAAATATGTTAAGGCCTCTGTTCTATCCTGTCGCAGGCTTATCTAGATTCTAATATATTCCATACTCAGAGTTTTCTAATTTGAGTACTGTTGCTGGCAGCTTGTCTATCATTCTTTTTATAAACTTTATATTTTTTATACGTCACTTTTGACTATTCTATATTGTTTTGTTACTTCTTGCTGTGAGCCCTTTTGGGAAGAATACACATTTTTGCTAATATTTGGATTTTATTAAAATAGTAGTTGTGTTCCCGCTCCAGTAACAAGTACCAAAATAGTTAGAGATATTTTGACAGAAATAAGATGTATATCAAAAAGTAACGAACAAAAATGAGTTATATTACTACCAAATAAGAGCTACTTAAAACATTAAAAACTGACTTGTTGTCATTTGTTAAACGAATTTGAACTTTACTGGTATATGAATAAATTTTAATATTTACAACAATAATAGTACATGTTGAGGAATTCTTTTGAATAATTCAGTGTAATATAGCTACTATTGAACTACTGTTTCATAACTGAATTCAAACGTTTGCTCGAATGGATGTATAAATATTGATTGACCATAAATTATAGAAACTTTTATATGAATGACAATTAATGCAAATTAATATAAAGTAACAATATCCATTAGTGGAGATCGATTTAAATAATTGTAATTAAAGAAGCTCAGGTATCAGGAACTTCATCAACAGCCTGTAGATATACGAATAATGTTGTATTTTTTTTATAATAATTAGCTGACCTGGCAAATGTTTCATATGAATTAATATCGCTATATAAACAATTGGTTAAAATTTTGAGGGGAAAAATTTTGTGTTGTTTGAATTTTTTAATGGCAAATTTTTAAGGGTTATTCACCCCGAAAAAATATATTTGGACCAATTATGTGATTCACCCCAAAAAAATCTCCTTTATCACTGAATCACCTTTATCAATTAGAGGTATTAAAATTGGTCTATGTCCACTTCTTAGACCTGCTACTAATATACACAAAAATTGATAAGAATTGGTCAGATCGTTATGGAGAAGTTATGTTTCAAACACGATTTGTAAAGAAGCATTTAAAATAGGAAGCAACAAAGAAATAATAATGTTAATATATCAGATGTTTTAGTGTTTTATAAATAATAAAACTAGTTTATATAAAGGCACTCACGTTTATTCTCTTCAAATATATTAAGATTTGTTTTATAAATGTAAAAAAAAACATATATAAAAATATCGTATCACACTGATAACAACAATTGAGTCTACAAACCACTAAATCAGTACAGATTATACATTAAAAAAATATTAGACATTGTACAAAATAAAGTGTACAAGTTTCGTTTACCGCGGAATTTATTATACATTATATTTATTACTTAATAAGTCTTTACGTATATCTGAGCAAAATTATTAATTAAAAATATACATATTACATTTGAATTGTGATTGTAAAAAATATGACACTAATTTCTAATAAAATGGCACGTTACAGTTAAAACGTAGCAAATTGTATGTAATGACAGAATACATTATCAATTAATATTTTATACACCAATTCGAGGACGACCGAATATTGTAATTAAAAAAAAAGTTTTAATTACATAATTTACAATTTACAATTTTGTACAAATTTATTACGTATACGAATATTGCGACTAATTTGTACATTTTAATTTATTTCATGTATAGAACACCTATTTTAAAATTCGAACGTTGTCATCGAATGACATTTTTGATATTTGTCGACAAAATATCCATTCTATTATACATTCAAACAACATTAAGTACTTATTATGCTGATTTTATCTATGATCCTATTAAACAATAATACACTATCAGTTTGAGCATCGTTAATAAGGAAAAATATTATTGTATTTAAAATCTCTAAAAAACGAAACAAATAACAAAATAGTAACACACAAGCAATTATACTAATTTATATCATAAATTACAAAAAAAAATATCTAATCAAAAATTATTACCTATAAGAAAATGACTCAATACACTGGCCTATAAGCTAATCAAATAAATACTTATACAATTTTTCATACAAATCTCCTAATATTGTACAAGAATTGTCTAAAAATATTTGTACACATAAATTTTGAGCTTTACATCACTGGCCGCTTATCCCGGTATTTATAACTAAAATGGTAAAACAATAAACTGGCATAATTCGTGAACTACTGGCATTAGTAAAACTAAGGAGTAATACACTCCTTAGTTTTACTCCGCATTTCTGAACGCATGAATAGACATATTGTTATAAATAAATTTACAATGTGTACAATATATTGTACAGTTTAAACAAATTATATTAATACAAAATACACAATAACAAAAACTTAGTTCTTGTACATCTGAAATTCAATTCAAACTAGTTAAGAATAAAAATCACATTAATAATATTTTAAGTGCGTTTGAATTCTGTACTATAAAATGCCAATATCATGCTTTCAGAATTTCACAACTTAATTTTCAACCTAATTATATAATACTATCTACAATAATAAAAAAAATAACAATACTTAAAAAAACTGGTAGCAAGATCAGGTAATCAAGAAGAAAGGAATGTACAAGTTACTTAAATACTGTATGGCAGAGTATTACATTAATATTATAAAATTTTAGCACTTTCATTAATTAATACTTGCAATTACAATATATACATATAAATAGAGTAACAACATGGCTCCATTGACTCACGGTTAAAATAAACGGTACATGCTAACTTTCATCCTGTCATTGGCACTTCTTCAGTTCGTTTCGGAACTAGTGACAAATCTAACGGATTCTTCATTATATCTTTACTATTGTCATCCCCAAGATCGATCCGTAACTCTGGCTCTGAGTCACTGACTTCATCGTTCTTGGGACTTCTGTATAGAACTGCTGTTGATTTGATTGATAGATCTATAGGTTGGTCCTGCTCGATCGCCACTCCTGCAACCGCTGGAGAATGTAACAATGTCTCTCCGCCGTTATTCCGATTTTGCCAATTTGTAATCGCTGGTGGCACTGACCTCATCATATTCATGTTTGTTGACAAAAAGGGCCTCGGGGAGAAACTTGGGGAAGCTGATACTGGACCGAATGGCGAGGATGGAGGCATCGTTGATGACTTCCGCTTCCTTACATCCTTGTTTTGATTTCTAATCGCTTGTAATCTCACATCTTTTTCACTGCACGGCGAAGATGTAGGTCTGAATATACTTAAACCGCTAGTACTTCTAGAACTATTATCATCTTCTGGATCAGCTGATGATGCACCAGAATCAGACGGTGATACGCTTTGCCGCGTTATATCTTCTGTATAATGATTCTTCTCTGAATTTTTATAATATTCTGCTAGTGCAGCTGCCGGTAAAAGGTTTGTGGGCAGAAAAGATGGATTCATAGACGAATTGAACGTAGGTGGGGATTTATTTGTTTGTAAATGGTTGATCTGTTGCTGCTGTTGCTCTTGTAGAAGACAGTGAATCTTAAACCAGTTGGATCGTCTCCCATACCTCGAGCCGGACTTGGACATACCGACTAGAAGACATTTCCGTAATCGACACGCCTTACACGCTGTTCTATTCTTCTTGTTTATCACACATTCACTATTGTTCTTGCATTCCGATATCGAAGATATGTTGTTGTACGTTCGCCCGAAGAATGACTGCAACAAAAGAGAAAATCGAAATATTAATAACACGAAATTAAAAAAGGGCACACGCTACCCAACAACGCCGGACCGCATTTGGATATTCGACTGCATTAATTTTGCGTAAAATATAGACAGACTTCCGTCGGCATCGCATAAGGAATAGCAATTTATAAGCGATGCTGTTAAAAAGAATCATCCGTGGTCCCATTCAATTCGCTCCGTGCCTGCTCGGAATTAAAAATTACATTTTTCAAAAAGTCATCATAAAGAGCACAGCGAGGCGTATTAAAATCTGGGTCAGCACGAAGAAGGCTGTATCTCACACTTAATATTGCTGAAGTGAGTTCGACTCGACGCGGGTCCTGTTGCGTCTCTTGACATAAATAATGGGGGTCTTTCGCGGATTTTTAAATAAATTTGGAAGTTACCCCGCTGCGAGCACTCTCGGCCCTCTTCTTTCTCAATTAAACTCGTACGAAAGCGTAAAATATGTGATTGTGCTACAGTTTCACTCCATGCCGTCGTGTGGTCAGTACACTTTCAGCAGTAAATAACGATCTGTCCCATTATTTGGGATTATAACAATATTTTGTGTTGCAATTTGCAGTTATGGTCGCATACCTTATTTGAATATTGCGTACTTGTGATACGAAATTAAAAGCCAATATCGCTACGTATTCTAATTGCTCTAAGAGAAACAGTTATCATTATCATATTTAAATTAATTTAGTAGATTTAATCGAATGATAACCGATCTGTACGGTTGTACACTTATATAAAATGGTCGCATAAGTCAAATCTCGATGATTTAGATGCCAAAACGGGCAGTAACTGTCAACACCCAAAGATAATATTTATAGCGTACATAAAACCGGTATTTACCTAGAAAATGACGCAGGCTAATTTGTCGCAGCGAGGTTTCCAACTACTTAACTGTAACAGTATCGTCATAGTGTGCAATCTTTATTTGAGGCACAGCACGACACAGTGTGCCGTGTGTAAGTACGAGTATGTAGTGCTGGTAAATCGAGGGAATTTCGCGAACGTATGTGAGTCAGTAGATTAGAAAATGCAGATAAGTCCTTCTTCCTTATGGGCGCGGATGGCGCGTTACAGATATCTCTAATTGAGCCGTAGCTTGTTGTGGAGGCCGTACGTGACTTGATTTGCTTTTGTTATGCAAAATAATGATTTAGTAATGGCACTGACCAATTACACGCCGAGATATGACCCGAGGATGCCCGCGTGTAATGTATGATAAATTTATTCATGCTCTCGCATATACATTGCCTGTATTATTTAAAAAATAAAAACGTTATTGCGGTTAGCGATTTAAAAATATATTTTTGGAAGGAAGTAGAGTACATTTTAATGTATTTTTTATCATATTAATTTAGCCTTATCGTCTATTTGGAATAGTATGATGTTTATGTTAATGACTGAGAGTATAATTCTGTATAATACATCCGAAGAACTACCATTGCCATCAAATTTATTGCCTTATTATGTATCAACAAATAAATCTGTTCAGTTATTACACTAATTATTTATAAGTATTCTCAATATAAGTAACTAATATTATAGTTATTGTTATAGGAACTCATCATTATATAAATAAGTGGATAAAACTTGTACCCCTTTCTTCGAAAATTGCGGCAACGGACTATGTAATATCAAACACTTATAGTTTATATAAAGAAGGAGTGCAGAATGCAATTTTTTTTATAAATACGAGTATGAATAAAAAATACATTACACACACTACCATATATTTAACATACACAAGAAATGTCAAACACAGTTACATTGTACAAATTGTACAATCTAACACAAAATAAAATACATAAATACAAAAACATAAATAGTTCTGCATATAATAAATAAATAAGAATAATGCAAAATGAAAGGTGGTTATTATCATGGCATTTTTTAATTCAAATGGTGTAATTCTTGTTACATCGTATATTCCATTTTCGTTTTTCAAATACAGTTATTAATTGTAACATTATAAATTTTATATCCGTGTAGTTCTCGGATATTCCATTTTCATGTTTCAAATACAGTAGGTAATTCTGTAGTACGTAATTCTGAAGTTATGAATGAGGTTTTACAACAAAAAACCAAAGTCTGTTATAAATCTGCCTGAAAAAAGATTTAAATGTCATATAAAATACTTCCTTTGCAAAAAAGCTTACTATATAATTGAAAAGTTCGTTAACGATAATAATGTTTTTATAGAAAAATTTAAAATCCATAGCACTGACAATATCATCTGATTGCACTAATAATGAGTGCGTAGCGATTTCTATGTTGATTATCGCATGCCTCTTACTTGTTATACTGTATTTATATATATAAAAAAAAACATCTATTCCAAAGATCAACACACAAGTTTCTTGCTCATTCTTCTTGTGATGAATCTGCATTCCGCATGAGTGGTAGAATCAAAATATGACTATTCAAAAGTGCTTGTAATGAGTCTATTTGAATAAAGATTATTTCTATTTCTATATCTAGAATAGTATTAAATTTTATATCCGTGTATTTCTCGGATATTCCGAACTTATGAATTAGAACAGTACAAAATTTTATATCCGCACCATTATTTTTATGTTACCATTGTTAAATATAGTATTAACATTTCAACATATTATTATTTTTGCATTTTTATCGCCATGAATAAATTTCCGAGTGATATAGTTACATATTTGGACAGTTGTTTCCGTATTATACTCATAAAAATGATGTTTTTATTAACACATATATACAATAATTAAGATAATCCTAGTATTTACATAATTATTTAGTAGCAAAATATTATATATTTGCAAATATATAGTATATTCTGATTGTAGCTATAGTGTATTCTATTTGCACCCACGCATGTGTATTTGAATTTTAGAATACAAAAGAATATAAATTAGAAAGCAGGAAATCTCTTATAAATCCATCAATTATGTATATATAAGATAATATTTATTGTTACTCTTGCCGGTCTCGGATGTATAGCGGTTTAGCACGCCGTTCTTCTTTCCGGTGGTCATGGGTTCGATTTCTTGCATGGTGCATACATTTGTATTTATGAGTAGTATTGGTCCAGACCAATACAAACCAATACTCATAGCCAATAATCATGTATTTTATTATTAGATATTATATATTTACAAAAAAATGTATTTAAGTATTTATATCAGTTGTCTAGTACCTGTAACACAAGGTCTGCTTAGCTTGGGACTAGATGGCGCTGTGTTATTTTCTTAGGCAATTATTATTATTTTATTTTCTTCGAGTAATATGTATATATATATACAATGAGTATACGTTATACATTTTTATGACATACCAGCTGTTACCCGCGTCGTCGTCTGCTATTTTAGATAAAATATCGCATATTATGGGTTTTTGTATAACGTGTAGTGATTATTTTTGATATTTCTTAAAACTGCGTATATGAGTCATATGGCCAGTGCCATCTTTGTTTCGTATAATATATTCCTATTGATATAATAATTCACTACGAAAATTACTATAATCTACGACAAGCTGTCATTCTGTCATCCAAAAACAATGTGACAAACTTCCAAAGAATGTCACCTGCGTGGGCGCAGGTACGGTTCCCACGGACTTACTGGATTCATATGAAATAAAACATTATAACATTTCGTCTTCTACGTACTCGTATTGAGATTTCCTCGATAGTCTATTGGATAAACAAGGTCAAGCAACGTTCGGCTTGGTCATCAATTGGATGGGTGATCAAGTAGAGTACTTAATGAACGCGTTTTTGGAAACATATAATCGTTATTATAATAAAATTCAGTCTTTACTACATTATTTATCATTATTAATTTATTCATATGATTTCATAAATAATGTATTTCCAAGAAATATCATTTGTACGAGGTAATATTATGAATGTAATATTTCAATCTTTGTTACACGATCACGCTTAAGAAAATATGTCTATTTTCTTAAGCGTGATTTGGATAAAATTTGATGCACAGATAGATCATAGCCGAGATAGGATCTTTTAATCCAACTAACTTTTTACTAAATTTTCTTTAACCATTCTAATGCTGTTGTTTGCAGCTGGAATTTACAGCATCATCGAACGAAATTGAGCGAGTGCAGATGACACTCCAAACCCGCGGAAAGTCTTATAGAACGGCTGAAGGCCAACTCCCGTAGATTGACACGACTTTAATCTGAGGACATTGCTAGGGGTTCGAATCTCGGTTCAGGCCGTCGTAGTTTCCATCCCTGTTTAATTGGATGGGGGATCAGAGGGATAAGACTGATTGGATACGACTCTTCCAACATCGCGCGTGGGCATTTCCGCGTGATTTAGCAAATGGTAAACATGTTACCGTAAGGTTCTAGAACCTTCGGTAACTCATTCATCTATTATAAGTCATTCATTGAATGAAATGAATGAATGTTTATGGATTTATGAATGGCTCTTAATATTTAATTAAATATTTTAATGAAATTCTATAATTAAATATTAATTAGCTTTATAAATTAGTCGGAAATGAATAAGAAAATAAACAGACAGTTTTTACTTTGAGGTCCGCCGGGCCATACGTCTTGGTTAATTGTAACCATAAATAATAAAAATCAGGTATGTATAATCTTAGTAGATCATATCAATCATAAAACTAGAACCTTAATAGTGTAGCGATGTAAATATACCGCCTCGGCTACAGATGGTAGCGCGGTCGATGCTAGCATACTATAAAATTTGTATGTATCTTTGTACGGATGATTTTTTTATGTTATATTGTTATACTAGATGTTCCCGCGACTTTATCTGCGTGGAATTTAGCTATATTTTTCTAAAATAAAAGTAGCCTAAGTTACTTTATGTTACATCAGCTACCTGCCAAAAAAAGTCCAGTCAAAATCGATCTAGCCTTTTCAGAGATTAGCCGGAACAAACAGACAGACAAACAAAAAATGTCATTTTGGTGTATGAACCAATTTATATTATATTTATAGATAAATTTTACTAT